TCGTCGTACTATTACTAGCACTAGTACTAGTACTAGTGGTGCTGCTACTACTACTACTACTACTACTACTACGACGACCACCACCGCCGCCGCCGCCGCCGCCGCCGCCGCCGCCGCCGCCGCAACCACCACCGCAACTACCACCGCAACTACCACAACGACCACCACCACCCACTGCAACGACAGCAGTAACAGCAAGAGAAGCAGCAGGCTCATGAGGCCATTGTCATCTCCTTGCCACTATAGTCGCTTGTATTCTGACCATTCGCTGCATGCTCATCACTGTGGCTGCCACAAATCAGAAGTGCGATGGTGATATTGCAGGTTTCGTCACCATGAACAAGGGTGTGCTGATTGATAAGCAGCTTTCATGAAGTCTCCCCGGCCTTGCGTTGAGCGTCACGTGCATTCCGGCCTGAATTGGAAGTTGCAGTCTCCACGAAGGGTATCAGGCTTTGGTAAATTTGCCCTTTGTTCCTGACTGCATACAAGGCTGGGCGACCGGCCTTCAGCTGTACCGGTCTGCTCACTACCACTAACACAAGCAAGTTGTGTGGTCTAGGACGTTTGCTTGAGGGCTTACCACTCACACGGGTGCAAGTCAAATCTAGCGTGGAAGCCAGAGGGCTTTGAGGCTGCTGGTTCCCATCCTCCGGATGGTGACCAATATTTTACGGCATCTCCCTGGATGCTAGGTAGAGTATGAAAAGCCAATAGCTTGACAGTCAAGAGGACCAAGGAATGCTTGTCAACATGGCAAGTTCCTGCCTGATGACACGAGCTGTTCTGAAAATTCATCCGTCTAGAATGCTCCATTCACCTCTCTGTGGGCTTCTGTAGATGGTTCTGCCTCATGGAGGCTTTACAATGTAGATGTAGCCTGTTGTTCAATGAAAGGGCCACTGATTCTCATGTCTTGTACGACGGATGGCTACGTCGAAATTCTTGTGCCCAGGCAAAATTTTGGCTTGGGGCTTTGAAGACTTGCAGAAGCTTCATGAAAACTAGGGGAATGCTCTCTCATCCCATGCACATACATTTCTGATCATTCTGTCTTGGCTGGATATGCGCGGAGCTCGCTTTGGCCTTGGGCTGGTACAGGAGATTGCCTTTAAAGGTATTGAGATTCAAAGAACTGCAACGATCGACTAACTCCATGAAGAACTCCCTACACCATACATAAGCTCCGTGTCAGGCAAAGATTGGCCGGTCCCAGGCGTTACTGGGTCGATGAAAGTGTTATTTCGAACTGGCTCCTTGTCAGTCCCAACTCTACTGCTTCTTACTGAGGGCTAGTAGGGAATAAGGGAATATAATCCCTATTGAATCCCTATATCATATATTCCGATATTCCCTATCAACCCCCAGCAAGACTTTGTCTGAGCTAGCTGCCTTGCTGATGGTCACCACTTGCCTCAGAGCCAGAAGCTTTTCATGCAAATAGAGAACTGGGGAGAAGTGGCTGCGTGCTACGAAGTTTTCCCTAAACCCGAAACCCTAAACATGTAGCCGTAGTACTAGCAGCAGGAGGAAGCGCCGATCGCGTGACGGCGCATTTCCGTGTTTGTTGATGGCTGAATGTCCCGGAGTTTACCGTAGTTTGGCGTACTGGTTGTCAGTGGGAATAAGG